ATTTATAAACGAAATTGAGGTCTATTTTATGTTAGAAATGGGTTGTCAATTGTTGGGCAAACGTTAGGACTTGTATTTATAAACGAAATTGAGGTTTGTTTTGTGTTAGAAATGGGTTGCCAATTGTTGGGCAAACGTTAAGACTTGTATTTATAAACGAAATTGAGTTATATTTTTTTTAGAAATGGATTGCCAATTGTTGGGAAAATGTTAGGACTTGTATTTATAACGGCATCTGAGTTAACCCAAAACATAATCTCGTGGACGTCAAACATAGATCAAGATTTCGTTCAGACAACCCGTTCATCCTAGCATCACAAGCTGAACAAGTCTATTATGTACCATATCCATCGAATTCATTAAAAGATTGGTGGTATGTGGTGAAGACAAAGCCAAAAGGGGTCTATGACTTAGCATCGAGTACCCCTGAGGTACTTTCAGATGAAAATATAGACGATGAACAGTTTTTCTAGAAAAATGAAGAATAACCCAACATGAGGGAAACGAAGATGTTCAAGAACCAATCCATCTTGTCACAGGGGAAAACGACATCGAAGTTGCCAATGATCGTCGGGACAACTGGCACGTTGATGAGAGTAGTGACGAAGGAGAGAAGTTCCAATACTCGGATAGTGACTCCGAGGATGAAGAACTTAACTTGCCTGATCACTCATCAGGTGATTAAATTCTTATGTAAATTTTAGTCTTAGTAAACTTTGTGTAGTTGTTTTGAACTTTTATTATTTCCATTTTTAAATCTTAGTAAACCATTATTCGACATTTGTTATTGTGTGGAATATTTACTGTATACTTGAATTATTGTTGTACGTTTTCTAACGTTGCTTTGTAGAAAATCGATAATGTTGCGTACTCGGATTACCGGTCGAGGTAGTGGCAGTACATCTAGCCACGGTACGGGTAAAGGCTCTAGTACTGCTTCGGCACACCCGGGGTTAGAGTCTGGTCGTGGTAGTGCTGCTCCGGAGCCGCTTCCACAACAGCGGACGGTTATTGGCATCCGCAGCAAAGAGTAAATACATTACATCTTTTAATTGATAAAAATAATTTTATTTGTATTGATGTTAATTCAATTCGTTAATTATATAGTTTCAATTTCACCAGAGTGATCTGTCGGATCACCAAGATCAACCGAGAGTTGCTCGACGGCCTTTGGATCAGTTGGAAAAAAAATCCCAAAGGACGTGAGACGCAACCTAAGAATTGCCTAAACTTTTACGTACAGGGCTATTACACTTGGGATCTGGCTTTGGACGCCAAGATCCTGGAGACGTGGGAGAGAAAGTCGGCCAAGCCATATAATGACAACATGAGTGCCGCGAGGAAGAAAGCTGGGGAAGAAGCAAAGAGGAATGGGTGTCCTCAATACGATGAAACCGACCCCCACCGGGATATGAGTGTGTTGAAGAACTCCCCCCCAGCTGGATATCTTCAGATGTGTAGATCCAGATGGCCGATCGTTGAAACAATGAAAATTGGAAGGTTGTTTCTGGTGTGGCGTGTGAGAACCGTGATAGCCAAGTTGTGCTACACACCGGTGGATCGATACCATTTTTGGAGCATGGTGCTCGTCTGGTAGGACCTAAAACCCATTAATTTAGTAGCTTGATTTTTAATATGTTATAATTAACACATGTTCATATATTTTGACCTTTGTAGACACGAGCAAAAGATGGCGTGCCCCCGACCGTTATGGAATTGTTTGATTATACGCATAAGAAGAGGTCGGTTGGAGATGGTGCATCTATGGATTCTGGGGGGTACGTGACCTCTAAGCGTAGCCAAGTCATGGTAAGTATATCTATCTATTATAATTGGATACGTAACTATCTATCTAGGTTGGGCAAACGTTCGAGTCGTTTAATTTAAAATCTAGTTTGGGTTGCCATTTGTTGGRCAAACATTATGATTGTTTAAGTTAGAAATTACGTATATATCATTATTTAGTTTGGGTTGCCATTTGTTGGGCAAAAATTAGGATTGTTTTGGGTACAATTTTCGTATCTATCACTATTGTTTTGCCTGGAAACATCTCATTTACAGTCGTCATGCTGTCAAAATTGACTTACAATCTTTTTTAAACCATATATAGGATGACTATTCAACAGGTCTCACCCAAAGATACGGCGATGATCCCTTCACCTATCCCTTAGTTGATAAAGAGTTGTGTAAGCATGCGGTTGGGGGAAGCAAGAAAGACCGTCTATTTGGGCTGGGTACAACCAAGATCCCAATTGGGTCTTGACTGGAAACTACACAGTAGGTGGTTCATCGTCTTCAAAGGGTCGGGTATGTGCCTCTTTTGATTTGATGATGTTTATCGATTTAGTTTATAATTCATATTAAATATTATAACGTTTTATTTAATTTACAGGAAATTGAAACCTTAAAGACCCAACTTAGAGACTTACAGGAACAAAGTCAGCGCCAACAGATTGCGGAGGAGGAGCGATGGCGGGCGGAGGAGGAGCGACGAGATAAACAACTTGAAGATATGGCTGCTTTGGTTAGACAACTCAGTCAATCTCAACATTTTCCGCCGACACCGTATTGAATATTATCTGTTTGTTTGAAACAGTTTAGTTTTTGTTTGTAACAATTTAGTTTTTGGACCAATTTAGTTTTTGTTTGGTTGGGATAATTGTCGTTTACTTTAATGTATGATATTTAGTTGCATTTCGTCTTTTTAGTTTTTTTAATATTTTACAGATTTACAGGTTTTAAATACATATTTTAAATATTAATTGTAAAAATAATCTAAAATAAATATTTATATAGTTTCTGGTGGATTTCCGGCGGATGTAATTTTTAAATTTAAAAATATATTTTTTTTAAAAATAATTTCTTTTTCCGGCGGATGTGTCCGCGGGTAAATTAATTGAGTTTTTTTAGATGTAAACATTTTCTTAGGTTTTTTAAATAAACCAGCGATAAGTTTCCGGCGGCCGGGATCCGTCGGAAAATGGTAAAATCCGCTGTGGCTCCGCCGGAAAATAAATCACCGACGCCAGTTTTTCCGGCGGCCCTATCCGTCGGATATCTTAATTTCCGGCAGATTTCCGGCGGATAGGGCCGCCAAAAATAACCCCATGTTTGGTAGTGTAAACTCACCTTATATTCACGTACACGAAGATGAACGTCACAATAGCGATTTCCAAATATAATCATAGAATCAACTTCTTCTTCTAACAAACTCACGTAGGATTTCACACAAGAAACAAACAGTAAGGGTTTTTCTTTCTTTCTCTCCAAAACAAAATAGATAAGATAAATCTTATCTCATCACTTTATACTATCATAAATAATTCCTAGGAGGTGGAGTTAATAGTTTTAAAACTATTATTTTCACACTCATCCCCATGAAATAAAATATACATAAATCATAAACGGTGGTATTTATAAACAAATAAACACATAACAGTTTAAAATTTCTTTACTTACCAATACCTTTAAAAAAACACCCCAAATATAACCGAAAATACCCGGTTAACACATGGAAAGTATTGGAATGTGCAGACTATCCAAACTCTCTTGATTAAGTACGTATTAGGAGGAGTTTTAGACGAAAGGGGAAGTCTACTATACATGTCATATTGGTATGTTATGCTCTTTCCTTCACCCAATGTTTTATTTTTCCCATTGGGTTTGTTCCTTCGTGTAAGGTTAGACAAAAGTTTATATTGAATCTTATTTTCTTAACTTCCATGATTGATGTACGAATCTGAGGGAATATTAGACTAAAGGAAGAGTCTATATATTGCAAAGAAACTAGTGCATTGTACACTTTTCTTCGTACTGTTTTAATTTTTTCCCATTGATTTTTATTTTTGGCGTAAGATTTTAAGAAGGCAACAATAGTGCACCATCACTCCTTTGACTCGACACAATGAGGAGTGTTGAAGGATAAATATGTCATCATCAAAAGTAAATGACGATAAAGATAAATATAAAGATAGATATAGAGATAGATATATTATAATTAGACTAGAATTATGTATCACATGGTTATCTATTTGTGACACATTACTATTTAAAAGACTTGTGATTAATAAGAATTTACACTTTTTCGATTCTCTTTATATTGATTGCTATATAACAAATCACACATTTTCCTTTATATTTTAATTTCACACGAATAGAAGGGAAAATATTAAGAGTCTTTAGTGTACATCACCACATAATTGTTAAAACAAATTATATAGATCTATTTTCCCATTGAAATAAATTGGGAAAATAATAAAAAGAAAATCTAAAATCACACCATTATTGACAGAAATACCCATTTATTTTTCCACCAAAATAAATTGGGAAAATAAAATGGAAAATGTAAATAAAATCAAAATAAAAATACATCATTCTAGTGGTCTTGTTGTAACAACTTGTACAAAGGAAAAGAGAAAATCAAATGCTTCGTGCGAGCATTTCTTGAAAATCAAGGATGGATTGCTCCCTCTGAAGCTTCATTTCTTCACGAACCTTGAAGATAAAATCCTCTGCTCTCTCATCCACCCCTCTGATGTCTCGAGTCCACAATCTGTCTTTGATCATACTCACATCTTTCTTCTTTTCACGAGGCAATGAATCATGTTCTGTTGCTACGTTTTTCTCAACTTTGCAACCACTGGTACTTGTACGAGTGGAAGTAACATATCCTTCTTCATCGTTGCCTGTTGTTCGCACTCTGGCTTGTTGACTCGATTTTGAAACATAGAGTTCGTCTATGAATATGGCTGGAAATCCCTTCTGAAGAAGGTGGTGATGGTGGCTCGTGGCAAAGCGTTGTCTCATGGGACGAATGTGAATCTTGTAACGTGATGAAACAAGAAAAGTGGTGACCTTTTTTATTGCCTTGTGAAATTTGATCTTGTGGAATTTGGATCGAAAGATCTCAGTGAAGCTTTTACACGTTTTCTTAACGTGTAAGAGCTTCCTTAATGACTTGAACTTGAACAATGACATGAAATGATAAAGAGAGAGATGGGATGATTTTGAGAACTTTGGGCATAGAGAGATACAATTTTTCAATTGAATGGATGCTTTATATAAGGCAAAAAGACACTTGCCACCATGTCAATCAATTTTTTTTATAACTGTAGTATTCATAACAGTTTGTATGTACTTCAACTCCCGCATTTGAACATCCGTGGCCACAAGGGGATTTTTATTTCTCTTTGGATTTGAACCTGGTACCTCCCGGTACTTTTGACCTTTGGAGCCAAGCTCAAACCAATCAGGCACCACCCTTGTGGTTGAATTGGTGATCATTGAGAAGCAAAACTAATGGCTTACCAGTTAAGCTATCCTCAGAGGTTATCAACACGTCAATTGGTGGAGACATAAATTTTTATTCGCTTGATGACCAGTCACGATAATTTTATATTTAAAAATGATTATTTTATAATAACTTATGCATTATGTAACAAATTCTTCAAATTTGAGAAATCATATGTTTTGTTCTTTCCTTACTTTGCTACGTATCCTTGTGATATGTTGCAAGTTGGATGCCTTTTGCCACAAAGTTGGCCTAAATAGCGATAATGCCAACKTCATTTATAAAACTAAAATAAAAATAATTATCGTTAATAGAAAAAAAAAGGCAATTTTAATTTGAAGTTTTAAAACGAAATATACGACTTTTTTTAATCAGAAAAATTGTCGTATCGTTTTTTAGTCCATAACGAAAGGTTCTTATAAAAAAACATGTACATCTTATAAGAATGTTACATTATTGATAACTCATCAGATTAAAAACCTCTATAAACCTTCACGATCGAGTAACTTACAAGAATCTCTTCTTGTGCGTTGTGAGTGACATCTACATTTTTCACCATTAGTTTTAATTATATTTTTTAAATTAATTGAAAAAAATACTAAAAAAGTAATATTTCGTACAAAATTGAAGATAAGAACCGATGTTCCCGTAAAAGAACTCTCCAACCACCACAATGGTAGTGACTTTACATCATATCATAATGGTCGTTCTTATAAGTCGTCAACATATAATGAGTTCTTGTATAAAACTTTGGTTCTCGTTACAAAAATCTCAGTCTTTATCTTCATTGTTGTATCATATCTTATTTCGTTAGCTTCTTATACATTTTTTATTTATATATCCAAACCTAAACCTGTGCTCGAGATATAGTTGTCTATATACTGATAACGGATGTATAGATTGAGTTTAGCCAAAAATAAATAAATAAGGTTCTTCTAAGTCAATACCATGAAATACAAAATTGCAAAAATCTAAGTATTCATATAACTATATAGAATGATGGATAATAAGATATTCACTGGCTTTTTATCAATGGCAATAGTGTAATTATGATATGATATAGGGTCAATTAAATAAAAATTAAAAGGAATGCTTTTGGTAAAGTAGTGTAGGGGGGCATGCCAGCCAGAGTAGAACAACTAAAACCATGGCCAAAAAGTCCAAAACTTTTGAAAGTGGAATCCATTCAAATGGCAAATGACGCATTTCCTTCCATGCAAAGCAACACAAGTTTTCTCTTTTGAGTTGTTTTTGCATCAAATAGTTTGACAAATCTGATTTTAATGTTGCATCATTCAAGAGTCTATGATAGTTATGCGTTTTGATATGGTGCAAATTAAATTTGATAATCGTAAAACAGATTTAAAAATTTTGATCACGATTCAGGTGTTTTTTAAAAACCAAACTGATCAGATTCGAAAAAACATGTAAAACTGATTTGTCTAACTGTCTATAATTTT